GACCGCGCGCCTGCTCCTTCTGTCATCCCGCCGGCCGGCCAGGTCCAAGTCAAGGCCTGAGTGGTAATGTCGTGGCAACCAACAGGGATAGGAAAGAAAACGAGGACAGCAGGGCCACAGAGGGCAGACCCACTGGTAGGGAGTGGGAACAGGGCCCGCTACATTGCTGCCGGAGCCCCATGTGGTGTACTCCAGGCAGCACTAACGGCTGGGGGGCAGGCAGCCCCGTCCCTTTCCTGAGGCCCCGCCCCTTCCCAGAGGCCCCGCCTCTTCCCAATGCCCCGCCCCTTCCACGAGCACAGAGCCACCCCTCCCCCCCACACTCTGCCCAGGGACCCAGCGATTCTGTCAGCTTCCTGCCAGCGGGTCCACAAGAGCTGTTTAGTGCAATGAGTGTTTGCGTGAATGCAACAGAGGCGCTTTAAGACAGTAAAACTATCCCCCACACACCCTGGCCCCTAACAAATCTAAATCGTCTCCACACAGTACTCAGCAAGCCGAGCCACTGTGCCCCAGCCCGCTGCCATATAAAATAAGGACCCCATTAAAGGTTTATTATGATAGAACCAGCTCCGCCCCTTGTCTCCAGCCCGCACCTCCTGGAACCGGCTTCTCGACAGTAATATCTGCCGCGCTATAAAGCCACTGGACGGATTGCCCCATTGCTTATATGACGAGCCACTTGCTATGCCCTTTGCAGCGTCTGGGTTTGAAGTTATTCGGGGGCTACACTGAAATGACCCTGTTGGCTGAGCATGAGTGACGCTGCCAGATTGAGCCAAACAACGGACATTATTCCTGATCACGGCTCTGCCGCCCTCTGCAGCCTCCCCAACCTGGCAAACGTAGCTGAAACCGGAACCCTCCCCATAAAGCATTCTTCCCCCTTCGCTTCCTTTCTTTGATTACTCCGGGTGAGTCAGCCTAGCAGAAGCAAACCTTGTGGTAGTGCTCTGTAGTTAGCAGTTGTACGAGAGTGGCGTCGGCAGCCAGTACATCATTTACGGTCGAGCTTACACTTCATTCTGCTCGCCGTAAAACAGCGTCTTTTCGTCTATTGAACTGAGGTGGTTTTGCGATCTAATTCGGGTAAAGGTCTCAGACAAAGTGGGAGATGTGACCTAGCGCTGTAAGAACGATGCAATTAGTGAGACGGTATTGTTACATTTTAGTGCAATGCAGTGTTCAAATCCTGCAGGAGGGTTTATAGATAAAGGACTCGATGGGTTGCAGGCTGAGGTGAGGAAAGGGAAACAAGGAGGATGTGGTCCATATGTTTTTCTAACATTAACAAGCTCCTTGTATTCGTTCCCTTCAGGATGCACTTTTACCTGTCTGGTCACTCAGTCATGGATTTAAGAAGCCATTCTTCTACAAAGGAATTTCACTAACCAATTAGGATATGGCTAGACTGTGGGGGAGGGGGGTTTCGGGATACCAGAGGTAGCCCAAAAAAACCCCGCCACATCCAGGGAACGCGGTTGCTCTTCTGCTTCTTTTTGCAGAAGAGCAAATGTGCTCTTTTGGAAGTCCCTGTATTCCTTGTTCTACAAGGAAGTAGGGGGCTTTCGAAAGAGGATTTTTTTCCGAAACCTGGGTCTAGCCAGGCTGAATTTCGGAAAAGCCTCTTCTGACAAAAGTATTGGAAAAAGATATACAAAACGCGAAGTGCATTTTGCGTATCTTTTTCTGACATCCTTGCAGTCTAGCCATACCCTGACAGAGAGTTTGCAGAACTGGAATGTATCTACAGATTGGACACACTTACTCTAGGCCTAAACAAAGTCCTTAGCTGGATTGTAATGTTGGAGCATTACAAAGCCAAATTCTCCTGCCATTAACATTTCCATTTCCACATCAAAAGTTATTTGTGGGTCAAGTCCAGCCTACTTTATTAGCCTCATTAACACGGGTCCTACAATTGACAGGTACTTCTTCGGCTGTTATATATATCTCCTGGTTTCTGTTACTCCCACTCCTATTCATCTGAGGAAGTGGGTTTTGCCCACAAATGCTCATGAGTCTATATATTTTAGTTAGTCTCTAAGGTGCCACAGGACCACTCGTTGTTTTTAAAGTTACAGACTAACACAGCTGCCCCTTTGAGACTTTTTTTTACCTTCAAAGAAGAAGATGCCAGTTCAATTGATGACTCCTCAAGGCCAAGATCTCTCCTCCTTTCCGCTCGAACCTCTGCATAACTACATTAAAAAAGAGACAGAGCTTTAGAACAAAATCCTTTTTGCCTGTTGGAAGTGAAGAGCAGGCTGTGAAATGAATACGGGGATTGCTTCCTTAATGATAGCTAAGCCGATACACAGTTCTCTAAGGGCCTCTCATGTTGGACCCTCTGCTTTGCAGACACACAATCCTGCGTGGACACAAGGTACAGTCGTCTACAGTCTAACTGCCAATTTAGAGGTGCACCTGTCCCGTTGGCACGGGCAGAACTGCAGAGCAGACGCAAGAAACGGCACATGTGACCTGGGGCACCAACTGACAAGCTGGTTTGTAAGTTCGGGCCAGGGCTGGCCCACAACATTTTGGCAACTGAGAAATGACGCCCCCATGCTCCCTCACTTGGGCCAAAACTTTGAAAGGTCTCAATTCTGCCTTCTCCCTGTTCTACTCCTCTCATGACACTCCGCCATCTCTGTGCATCTAGAGCAGAGAGAATACAGATGCGCCAGTGGAAGACACAATTTTCTACACTCTGGGGCCTCCCCACAATCTGGCACCTGAGGCGGCTGCCTCAGTTTGCCTCATGGTAAGGCCAGCCCTGGTTTGGACCCCGCCTTAGAAGGAAAAGGGTGCTCAAAGGAAAAGCTCTGTGAACACGTTGCTATGGGAACAGCGGGGGAAAAGAACATCTTCATCCTTACTACAGTTACCACCATAGAGCCACTCCCCATAGAGAGACAGGCCTGATGCAGGTTGGTGGCGGGTAGGAGGTACACGCATTGTGGGGCTTTTCATAACAGTGGGACAGTCGCACGCAGGGACTCAAGCGGCTCCCTGGGGAATTTCATGTAAGCAAGGCCTGCACGGCCGTGACCTTAGTTTTTGTAACTCAACAGTGTCACACCTGCGCAGGCCTCCTCCTCTCAACGCATGCAGCCAGCACCGCATTGCACCACAGACTGGAAAGGAAATCTATCAACTTCAGTGGAAGCTTTGCATCGGGAGTGACGGCAATTAATAAGCCCGCATTTAAAGCCCATTGAGACCCCTGGAGAATGTTCCTCAAAGACTCTAAGCTCTCTTGAAGCTCTTACTCACTGTCTTTTAAATAATCAAATCTGAACAATGTATAAACCCTGAGATTTAACTCTGGGGCTGTGTCTAGACTACATGGCTCCATCGATGGAGCCATGTAGATTAGACACATAGGCAAAGGCAAATGAAGCCGCGATTTAAATGATCATGGCTTCATTTAAATTTACATGGCTGCCGCGCTGAGCTGACAGCTGATCAGCTGTTTGTCGGCTCAGTGCGCTAGTCTGGACGCTCCCCTGTCGACATCAAAGC